CCTTCAGCGCTGCCCAGGTGAACGCGGACATCGGGCTGCACATCGGCCTGGCAGGGGTGACATCGGCCTGGCAGGGGTGAACGTCACGCTCAGGGGTGAGTCTGACGGCCCCATCTGGAACTCTGGAGTAGCCACGGCCCCAGGAGATCCACAGCTGCTCTCTGGGGCCCCTGGTCTGTCTGAAGGCTCCTGGGAGCCTGCTGTGCCCGTGCTCCTGGCTGGCAGTGTCCGGGTGCTGGCACAGCACGGCCGCAGCTCGTCCCTCCCGCAGGAAACCCAGTGAAGCAGATCAACGAGACCATCGACTACAACGAGCACTTTCCCTGGAACTTTGGAGCGGATTATGAGCACAGCTACAGCGAGGGGCTGGAGAAGGGGCTGCCCAGCCCCATCCTCTACGTGGCAGAGAAGTTCATCAGGCAGAGCCCCTGTGCCGTGCACAGGCAGTACCGCATCGCCGGCCACTACGCCTCAGCCGTACTCTGGTGAGTTTTCTGCCCTGCTGAGCCCTCCTGTCCTGCTGCAGGCAGGGGAGATCAGGGGTGTGGAGAACTTGGCTGCCTTTCCCCTAGGCCTTTGGGCTGGCTGGGATTGCATGCTGCCAGGAGGGAAGCTGTGTGCGTGGAGGGCTCCCTGCCAGGCACTGCAGACACTTCAGGGTGAGCAGTGCTGGTTCTCCCTGCTGGACAAACCCACTGGGCTGGGCACAGGACAGAGGAACGTGGTGCAGGTCCTTGTCATGACGTGATGATAATGGTAGAGGTCCATCCCCATGGCTGGAGTTGAAGCTGCTGTCCTTGGTGGCCCAGAGAGGCCCATGGACACATGAAGAACTCTCCCAACCCTAGCTGTGAGCGTATTTTGTATCTAAGATTTGGATCAGGTGAGGAAAAGATACTGCTGCTGTTATTGTGGAATTGATCTGGCTTGATCAATTGACTCTGGCAAGGTCAGAAAGCCCACTTGGGCTGGGGGAGAGAAGGTCCCCAGCTGGCAGGAGGTGGCCCCTTCCACCTTATGCTGGCCATGGAGAACCATTGCAGCGCTGTTCTCCCTGCTTGGTGTTTGACAGCAGGGACACAGAAGCTAGAGAAGAAGCCTGGTGATGCCATGGAACAAGAGCTCCAGATCCATAGCTGAGGCCTTCCTCTGTAGCCCAACTCCTCAGCACGTGCAGAGCTCCTGCAAAAGACCTTTACCTGCTCCTGCATTTATCTCAGTCTTGGGTGCCTCTCTCAGGGTCTGCTGCCCCACGTGTGGAAGGGCTGGGAGCTGGGATGATCCAGGTACCCTGAGTGGGCTGCCACAGCCTCCTTGAGGCTGCTACTGCCTGCGGGCTGAGAAGAGGAAATCTGTGTTTCTGCCTCCTGGATGTAGCAGTGTGAGCCTTGCATGTGTGCTTGCTCAGCATGGGGATTAGGGATCATTCCTGCCTGCCCACAGAGCTTCTCCACCTCCCACAGCTCCTACTTGGAGCCCAGATTCCTCCTGCCACATGGAAATCCCCACACAGAGCGTCCTGATCGTGGCACTCGCACCACTCATCTGTTGGTCTCCTCTTGTCTCCAGGGTAGCCTTTTGCACGTGGATCATCTCCAACATCCTCCTCTCCATGCCTGTCCTGGTTTATGGAGGATACATGCTCCTGGTCACAGGGGCCTTCACCACCTTCTCACTGCTCTCGTTTTCCACCGCGAGGAGCTCCCCCATGTGCCTGATCAAGATTGGGAGCAGGACCCTGCATGTGGCCTATGGGGGATCCTTCTGGCTCGTGCTGGCAATTGGTGAGAACATCAGGGTGCCCTGGGTCACATCACTGTGTCCCTCCAGAGGTACAAGGGTCCCAGGTGGGAAGTGCAGCCCCCCAGAGCCTCAGCCCTGGCAAAGCAGATGTGGAGAGGGGTGGGAAAAGGGGAAACACCATCCTCATCTCAAGGGCAGTGGAGGCATTTAGAGCTCCTGAGGTGCAAACACTTTGGGGTCCCTTGCCTGGGTTTTCAGACCGGTGTCTGGGGTTTAAGGATGCTTAGAACAGCTCACACACTGGAAGGCCACCTTCCATAAAGCAAAGGCATTGTTCTCTGGCAGGGGACAATCCAAGGAGAGCTCTGGGGTGGGGACCCTGCTGGAGCGACACGATCCCAAACAGAGAGCATGTTTGTTTCCAGGCCTGCTCTGTTTTCTGGTTGGGACCACCATTGTGGCAATGCACCACCTCAATCTGGACCTGCTGAAAACTTTCTTTGATCTCCATGAGGACAAAGCAGAGGAGTACCAGGAAATGCCTGAGGTGTTCATCAACCCTCATTTTGTGAACAAGGGCCTGTTTCCTTCCCAGCACTCTGAAATCAACAGCATCTAGAGGAAAGTCCTTGTTCTTCCCCTGAAGATGAACCCAAAAGGGCAAAACAAATTCTTCATGATGTCCCCAGAGATGCATTTCCCCATCTAACAGCCCCACACTGGGATAGGCCCTTGCTGGGAAGTGTACCTTCACAGACTGTCCCCCTGCCCTCTGGAAGGGGCAGGCTGTGCTGGCAGCTCACAGCTCACAGCCCCAGAGGCTTGAGCTGCACACCCCCCTGGGGATCCTCATCCCAGGAGGAATCCCTTCCTGCTCCATGTTCTGCCACGCTGCAGTGCAGGAATTCTTCAATGCTCTGCTGCTGCTGGGACTGAGAATCGCCTCATGGGTGACATTTCTCCCTGGGAGCACCTGCCACTCCAAAAGCCTGGGATTAAATCTGCTCCTTTCTTTCCCAAACATGACATTTTGTGGTTTAGGTGTATCCAGGAAAGCCAGGCATAGAACCAGCAGGCTGGATGCTGCAGGAGCTGGGATAAAAAATCTGCTCCAGAAACAAAGGCTGAGTAAACGCACCAGATTGCTGTGGGGGATGTGGTGATGTGATTCTTTTCACCTTCAAATTTGGCTTTGATTAGGCAAAACTTGTAGCCTTGTGTGAGCTGAAAAGATGCCATAGGAAAGGAAAGGGAGTGAAGGATGAAGTTATCCCTGTCCAGCTGGGGCACACTGCATCAGGGAAGGGTGGGATCTGTCACCTCTCAGGTGAGACCCCACCTGCAGAGCTGCCTCCAGAGATGGACCTGGAGCTGCTGGAGCCAGTCCAGAGGAGCCATGGAGAAACTCCCAGGGCTGGAGCCCCTCTGCTCTGGAGCCAGGCTGGGAGAGCTGGGGGTGCTCACCTGGAGAGGAGAAGGCTCCAGGGAGAGCTCAGAGCCCCTTCCAGCGCCTGAAGGGACTCCAGGAGAGCTGCAGAGGGACCGGGGACAGGGACCCACATGACAGGAGATGGAATAACTTCCCACTGCAAGAGAGCAGGGATAGATGGGATATTGGGAAGGAATTCTTCCTTGTGAGGGAGGTGAGGCCCTGGCACAGGGTGCCCAGGGAAGCTGCAGCTGCCCCATCCCTGAAGTGTCCAAGGCCAGACTGGACAGGGCACTTGGAGCAACCTGGGATAGTGGAAAGTGTCCCTGCCCATGGTGTGGGGTGGAACAAGATGAGCCTTAAGGTCTCTTCCAACCCAAACTATTCTGGGATTCTATATCTGAATGCTGGAAACCTGAGCACCCTCATTCCAGTTAATTTTAAAGTATATAATCTCAATGTTTTGACTTTTATTTTTGAGATCCTTCTGGTAAGTTACTTATTTCTGCCAGATGATACTTGTGTGTCACTAAATTGGTTTGCTCTGTGCAGGAATTATTTTCAACAAAATAAATTTTCCTGAAACCCCTCTCCTTTGAAACACTGTGGACATTTAGGGGGCTGGTTTCTTAAGAAGGGGCCATGGAGCACAACTGAAGGTCACTTCTGGCAAGCCCCCAGCAGCAGCATTCTTCTCATGGGGATAAATTCCTTGTTGGCACGTTTCAAGGTCACCCACCCAGAAACCTTTGTCATGAGGAGCTACGAGAATTTAGGAGAGCCTCAAAAGGACTTTAACTAGCTGAGTGCTGGGGCTGAAGCTGTGAGATTAAACCACCAGAACTCCTTCAGGAAAAGGAGGATCCTTCCTTGAGAGTTTCTTGCATCCAGACACGTGAGGTTTGAAGGCACTGACGGGAAGATGGTGCAGCAAACACAGGTTACTGGGGCTGGTGTGGGACAGATCCCGAGACACAGGAGGCCTTTCCCAGCCTTTTGGCCATTTGCACTGTGCAGGTCCCACCTCCTCCCTCCAGCACAGCTCAGCTCCCTGGCTGGACTGAGGTGCTGCTGGACATCAAGAGGTAGTTACCACCACTAAACCTGTGGCTCTTGGCCCAGGTGGGCTCTGCCCCCGCAGTGTCCGGGGAATCTGGCATCCATCCGGAACCAGTGCCAGCAATGGAACAACCACGGTGAGATCTCAGGGAGCACAGCCGGGGGCTCTGCAAGGACCATGGCCACCCCCCTGGTGGCACTCACTGCAGCCACCTCCCCCAGCAGGAACATAGCAGAGAGAGGTCTGTCAGGCCTGAATGCCAGCTGACTAAACCAAAGGGATTCCTTGTGCCTTGGATCTAGTCCATCTCTAGGCTGAAGCACCTCCTGATAGGTGTCACTGGGAATATCCTGGCTGGGATCTCCCAAGCCAAAGGAGTTGAGCTCCAAACCCTGTTGGGTCCTCTAGGTTCTCATTGAAGGCCCTTCCAGCCGGAATGGGATGGGAGAGGATGCCGTGGCTGAGCTCCTCCCTGGCCCATGGTGGCTCCTCTGCAAACCTCTCTGCAGGGCTGGAGGGAGCTCCCATCAAACCTCCCACATGCTCAGGGGCATGCCAGAAACTAAAATTCCCCCTGCTTGTTTGCTGGGGATATTCCAATTCCCTCTTTGGAGGGCACTGATTCGACCTCATTGCCCTACACTGGCTGAGCCCCGTTAGGTGCCCCATTCAGGACCACAAAAAGGCTCTGCCTTTTCCTCATCCCCTCCCTGTGGCTGCCATGTCACAGCAGCAGCCCTCAGAGTGACACCTCTATCAACAGGCAGGTGAAAGGGCAAGGCAAACTTATTTTATTGAGATAGAGAGGGAAATACGTGAGCACAAAACAGAAAGAAAATGTTGTGAAACCCTCAGAGAGGCAGAGGGATGTAAAGCTGAAGTGTGCACCCTCTCTGCCTGTGTGGGCAGGGGTCCTGCTGCCTTGGGCAGAATTTCAATGTCTCCTGCCCCTGACATGTGTATTTCCACAGCTGAGCAGGAGGAACCCAGACTGGAGGTGCTGCTCCCCTCTCCCTAATTGGTTACATCTGATCTCCAAGACACTGCTGTACCTCCTTTCCCACCTCTTCCTCTCCTTCCCTCCCTCCTGGTACTTCCAGCATCCTACTAAACTGTGTTCCTATTTGCCATGGTGCTCTTCACCCTGGGGAGCAGCTCCATCTGCACTTCCTGACTGCTGATGGGAACAGTATCCAAGGCAAGGGGACTTTTTGGGTGGTCCTCAGGGTGAGGGGGCTGTTGTGGGCTCTACTTCTCCTTTGGTTCATATCTATGGGCCTTCAGTTGCTTGCTTTCTCCCCATCTTGTTCTGATTTAATCTCTGTATCCTGGGGAGGGCTCAGGGTTTGTTGGGATGGACCAGGGGGAAAGGCAGTAAAACAGAAAAAAAAAAAAGGAAAGTCAACTATTGTGTTTGAGACACCTTTTCAGATGTGGATATTCTCATCACTTGGTTCTGGTCACAACCTTCCCAGCTGGGCTCCTGATGGATTTGGTGGGTTCAGGAGCAGCATGTCCAGCCCTGGCTCTGCGTGCCCTGTGCCTCAGAGCGGGGTGGCTGAGCTCACATGGCAGAGCTCACCCAGGGGCACCATCAGCCCATCCTGCACAGAGCAGCTGGGCTCAGCTGCCAGGCAGGACCTGTCCCACACCTCCTCTTCCCTGCTCTTGTCCAGGCTGAAGATGAGCTTCAGCTTCTCTGGCTGCAGGGAGTTGAGGATGACGATGGCCAGCCCCAGGAGCAGGCACAGCAGCCCTGCAATGCAGAGTGGCACCAGTGCAGGAGCGCTGCCAGCTCCCAGCCTGGGACACACAGCATCACCCAGCAGCTCCCTGGCCATTGCTCCTTCCCCATCTCGATTCTAGCATCACTTTGGGCTCCCCACTACAAAAGAGAGGTCAATGAACTGGGGCAGAGAGCTGGGGCTGGAGCCCACCCTGCACAGGGAAAGGCTGGAAGACCTGGGCTTGTTTAGCCTGAAAAAGAAGAGTGTCCAGGGGGAATTAGTTACCATCTGCTACTGGAAAAGGGCTGGTGTCCCTGGAGGTGAATGTTGTAACGTGGAAAATTCTGGTTTGATCAAAGGAAACAATTGCTGCCTGGAAGTGGAGCAGGTCCTGGGGGGCAGAGGGAATCTCTATCCAGCAGGTAATCTCAGACATTCAAATCTCTTGACTGCTCATCTCTTTTTCTCCACAACCTCAATAATTCTAATCTAAAATCTTCTTACCTAAAATGATTGTTTTCTGTGACCAGCCATGGAGAAGGAAGTGATGGGGTGCTGTTGGAACATCATTTCTGTGGGGATGGAGAAGAAAATCCCCAGAAGGAAGCTGAGTACTCACCTGCTGCTAATGTCAACCAAAAGGATTCACCATAGTCCGTCCTCAAGGAAGCTGGGCCGAACTGGATGGGGCACTTGAGGGTGTTTCTTGCGGTGGAGAAGAAGAGCAGTGAGAGGAGGATCAGAGTGGCTGTGACCAGAAGCATGTGGCCACCATAGAGCAGGATGGACATGGAGAAGAGCATGATGGAAATGAGCCACGTGCAAAAGGCCAGCCTGTGAAAGGAGCACAGAGCAGAAAACATCAGGCTTGGAGCACCTACTCAGGGTCTCCTCTGCATATCCCAATGGAGGGACAAAGTCCTGGGCAGCCTGGTCTCACTGGCCTTGCTTCAGCAGATGGTTGGGCAGCCTGCTCTAAGGAGCCCTTACAAGCCAAACAACTGTGTGATGATATGAGTGGTGGAGCTGTGGGACAGATCCCACAGCAGGGAAAAGGGATCTCCACACCTGGGAATGTTCAGTATTGAATTTCCTGAAGCCCCCAAGCACCTTGGTATGGCTTTGGCATCAACCCCGCTCTGGGTGTGGGACTGGAGTAGAAATCTCTGGAGGTTCCTGAAAGAAATGCTCATGTTTAATAGCTCAAAATATGGCCATCTGCAGAGGAAGCAGGTGCTTTGCTGGGGCTGGGTTCCCCCCTGTCAGGGGAGAAGGAGGGCTTTTGCATGTGTGGTGGCAAGCCCTCTAATGTGCAGAAGACAGAGGACCCCTCAGCAGCTCTGGGTTTTGAGCCAGGTGAGGGAGAAGGCTGAAGAAGACCTTGGAGAAGCAGAGGGATGGTTTTTATCATGCCAGTGCCCTCCTTTACATACAACCAGCTCAGCTGAAAACCTCCCCCTCCCTTCCCAGGAAGGTCCTGCTCACATTGTTTCCCTTCACACCTCGGCCCGAGGGTTTTCATCCCTTCTGAGGGGGCAGAACTGATTCAACACCGGCGTGAGAGGCAGGGTCATGTCTTAGAAGGGGTCCTAAACCATTAAAGACCCCCCAAAGCACCCCAAAACTCTGAGCCCTTCCACCAGAGAAATACACCTGATTATTTTTACAGCAGACCCCTCTGCCCAGGCACTTAAACCTGGACCAGCACTGAACTCTGGGTTTCGTGGGACCCCCACCGCTGAGAGGACCAGAAGAGGATCAGTGACACTGTCTGGTTCCATGGGTGCTCATATCCTTTTACTTAATCTGTCTCCCTCTCTTTCTCTCTCCTCCCCCTTTCCTCTTTTATTTCTTTCCATCTTTGTCTACCTCATATTTACAGTGACATAAAATCCATGTTATTGACTTCAGCATATGGTCTCATTTACACCTTCATTTGGGCAGAGGATTCTCTAATAGTCAGATTGTAACAGCCCTGTCAAAGTAACCCTTTTTCTGATTCTTGTGATTGTCCACAGCTGACCACCCCCAGGCAGTTCCCACGTGTCCAGAGGGAGAATGGCACGGAAGGACACATTTGTTTGGAGAACTGCACCATTAGCCATGCCCACACCTGATTCAGCACCTGGAGTGTGCCCAGCTGCCAGCCCTACCCTGTGCTTGGGGCTTGGATTTAGCTCCCTGGGGAGCCTAACAGACTTTTCTGATGCCAAGAAAAAGAAAACAAAATAAAAAACTTTCATTAATATTTCTTCTGTGAAATACAGGAATGTTTGGGTGGGGATAATTGTTTTTCCTGAAAATAAAAAAGGAGATGGGTACAGGTACCTGGAACCTACATTCAGGGGGGGAATTGCAAAGCTCTCTCTTCCCTGCAGTGCCTTTCCCACCACCCCTGAGACTCGTGAGTGTGCTCTGGGACTCCACAACCACAGTACACACAAGGGCTCTCCTGAGCACCCTCCTGATGGTCTCTCCTGCTCCCCCCAGGCAGGTCTGTGACCACTTGGATGTGCAAAAGAAGACCCTTCACAGCAGGTCCTAACCTGGACCCTTAATCTTGGTCCTTGGGAGAGATCTCAAACCTTGAGCCCCACAGTTGCATCTGTTTTCTCTTCAATGGATTTTTCTCAGACTGCAGTTTTGTACATCAAGAGGACACATAAGAGGAGTCTGGGGACATGGACAAAAGCTGGAGCTGGAGCCCCTCTGCTCTGGAACCAGGCTGGGAGAGCTGGGGGTGCTCAGAGAAGAGAGAAGGCTCTGGGGAGACCACAGAGCCCCTGACAGTGCCTGAAGGGGCTTCAGGAGAGCTGGAGAGAGACTTGGGAAAAGGGTCTAGAGGGACAGGACGAGGGAGGATAACTTCCCACTGGCAGAGGGCAGGGTTAGCTGGAATATGGGGAAGGAAGTCATCCCGAAGAGGGTGCTGAGGCCCTGGCACAGGGTGCCCAGAGAAGCTGTTCCATCCCTGGAAGTGTTCAAGGCCAGGTTGGACAAGGCTTGGAGCAACCTGGGATAGTGGAAGGTGTCCCTGCCCATGGTGGGGGTTAGAGCACCATAAGCTTTAAGATCCCGTCCAACCCAAATCAGTCCGTGATTCCACAATTGTATGAACCTACGACAGGCCAGGAAGCATGACAATCCCAGATCCTGCAGACAGCCAGGGCTTACAGACAAGGGTGGCTCCATAAAGCTCCTCTGCTGTCTCTGGTTCTTCCCAGCTCCCCAGTCCATAGGACAGGGCTGAGCCCTCGCTGTAACTCACCACAGGGTGAGGGACACGTAGTGGCCGGCGATGCGGTACTGCCTGTGCACGGCACAGGGGCTCTGCCTGATGAACTTCTCTGCCACGTAGAGGATGGGGCTGGGCAGCCCCTTCTCCAGCCCCTCGCTGTAGCTGTGCTCATAATCCGCTCCAAAGTTCCAGGGAAAGTGCTCGTTGTAGTCGATGGTCTCGTTGATCTGCTTCACTGGGTTTCCTGCGGGAGGGACGAGCTGCGGCCGTGCTGTGCCAGCACCCGGACACTGCCAGCCAGGAGCATGGGCACAGCAGGCTCCCAGGAGCCTTCAGACAGACCAGGGGCCCCAGAGAGCAGCTGTGGATCTCCTGGGGCTGTGGCTACTCCAGAGTTCCAGATGGGGCCGTCAGACTCACCCCTGAGCGTGATGTTCACCCCTGCCAGGCCGATGTGCAGCCCGATGTCCGCGTTCACCTGGGCAGCGCTGAAGGACTTGTAGGAGGTGTTTGCCTGCACCCAGCCAGTCTCCCAGTCCCTGGTGAACTGGACAGCTGTGAAGATTTTGGGGGTTAGTTACAGCCTGGCAGCAAGGTGTCTGGTGCTGGAAGCACCTGCCAGGATGGTCACCACGGCCTGGGCATCACCTTCCTTATCCCAAGGTCAGGACTAGGCTGGTAGCCCCAAGGTCCTGTATGTCCTCCTCAACATCAACCACGACCCTGCAAACTCCACTTGGGCTGGTTTCTCCCCATCCCCAGTGCAGACCCTGACCCTGGTGGCAGTGGGGCTGATGTGTGGGCACTGTCTGGGCACTGCTTCTCATCTAGGCCCTGCCAATCTGCCTGAATTCCCTGGAGGGGTGCCTGAATTCCCCCTGGTGGTGACTGCCCTGGATATGACCACCAGCCTCCACCAGACTGGAGCGCCTTCCACCAATGTGTCCATCTTGCCCATGAACTCATCCTGCAGGTTGGACTCGGCCCTTGGCTGATCTATCCACCTTCCCCCTCCATCTCTTGGGCATCCAGGAGCCTCCCCCGGGAGCCCAGCACTCACTGAGGATCACTGCTCCCATGAAGAGTCCCAACACCAGCCGCAGGAACCAGAAGAGTCGCTGTAAGGAGTGACAAGAGTGCAGAGACAGGTGTCAGTCAGATTTTACCACGGGGACCTCAGCACCAAACATGTAATTTAGGAACATCAAATGGTGAGAAATAGACCTGTCCCTCCCCTGGGGAGTCACCCCATGTGCTTTGTGGGTGGGTATGGGGTACACCTGTGGCTGGGGGGAGACAGCAGGGAGATCCAGTCAGAGGAAGAAGATCAAAGGAACCCATTGGAATAAGCTGTGATGTTCCTTTTATTGGGAAGGAGGGTGGAGACATTTCTCTAACAGCTTTCAGCTGCAATTTCCAAACTTATCCAAACCTCGTGTGTTTGGACATGTTGACAGAAGGCCACAGCTGGAAGTAGGAAAGAGTAGGAAAAAGGAGTGACCGGGCATTTGTAGCGTCCCCTGGGGGACAGAAGCCCTTTAACCAGCCGTGCTGCAAAAGTAGGCACACAAGGAGCACCCGATGTGGCTCACAGCAGGGCTTGCTGGCCACACAGAGCCCGGCGAGCAGTGCTGGGACATGCCCGGTACACACCTCCCTCTTTTATTGAGGTTTCTGGGAAGGTGGGGTGAGGTCTTTGAGCCTCACCCTGCTATTCCACTCTGGTGAAATCATTTTGGCTTGTTCACAGAAAAATCCAGCCAAGATCAGATCTGGCTCCCAGAGAAATCTGGGGTGGAAGAGTTTGGTGTCTATGGAATGAGTGTTCATGCTGGGATGGGCTGGAGCTCAGCCCCCCGTCTCTCTAGAGATCCCAGAGCTGTGGCCATGAGCCCGCGGGCACCTTTGCTTGCCAAGGCTGGGAAGGAGGGGGAATGTGGGATGAACAGGCAGGAACCGGAGCTCTGAACTGCCCCTCCACTTACCCCCCTGCCCCGGATCCCCGGCAGGATGATGATGAAGGTGAGCAGCATGGAGAGGAATGTGGTGACAATGACAGCCCGGGTGGTGTCAAAGGGGAAGCAGGCAGTGGCTCCAGGGTAGAAGGGGTAGGAGCCATCCCACAGCGTCATCCTGCTGCCTGGAAGGACTCAAAGTTGGCATCGAGAGGCACGGCGATGAGAAAATCCGCTCTAAGCAGCCTCCTCGGCGGAGCTGTCCTGCGCCCTTGCCAGCGCTCCGCTTGTCTCTGGCGCGGCTGTTTGTCCATCCCAGTGCCCGGGACGCTGCAGTCCCACCCTGGACATGCACTTAGGCGTCTCCCACGGGAACCCTGCATCTTCCCAGCATACAGCCCCCAGCAAAGCCGCTTTGGAGCCAGCAGGGCACCTGCTGCAATACTCGGGCTGTCCCCAGGGAGGGACAGCACGACATGCAAACCGACATGCACCACCCCTCGCTCCCCTCCTCTGTTCTCCATCCCCGAAACCTTCCCCGTGCTCCCACCCTCCTTGTTCAGCCTTTATCCGGCAGCCTGGCCCCGCTGTGCTCGGGGTGAACCTGCACAGACCCAGGCTGAGCCCGGAAGGAATTCGCTCCTCATCCCGCAGAGAAACGGGAATAACCCGGAGGGGACGGAAGACCCGCCCGTCCCTGGCAGCGGCGTTCCCAGCCAGGAGCCAGCTGGGGGAAGGAAGAGTGGGACGCTGCTGGAGACACCAAATGCTGTTTTCAGCACAGCATTGAGCCGCTCCCTCTCCTGCTGGAAAGGGCTGCTCAGCATCCCCCGAGAATGGGAGCTATCCCTGCAGCAGCCGCAGGAACACCCACACCTCCTTCCCCACACCGAGCCTACCTGCGCTGCAGCCGGGCCGGGAGCTGCGACGTGCCCGGGGAGAGCCGGGATGGGCCGGGATGGGCCG